CATTGTACAGTGGCATTAAGTGCCGTAATGTGCACCTCTGCCTACCCCTTCGGGGATAAAAAGGCGTGATGTTATGTTATGTTAACATTGGTTCCCAAAGTTGTGTTGACAACGATTTATCTAAATTAAGTTTCCAAACTTTAGACCCGCTTTCATTGGTATCGCGAAGAACCTAACGGGTTACCGGGGCTCCGGCTCGACATGCAGGAGAAGGGACGGGGTGGTTTTTAGTCAGTAAGAGTCTGACACTCCCTCCCGCCTCACCCAGGCTGGAGCAGTCATTCGATGATTTTCCCGCCTGTTCTTTCTCCTGCACGGCGAGCCGGAGCCCCGGTTACCTGTTAGGTTCTCCGCGACTCCGAATCGGCATCGGCCCTATTGGGCCCCATCTGATCCACTTATGGGTTGCGACTCATAGTTTGGGAAACCCTGATACAGAATATGATAAAAAAAGCATGACTGCCTTGGTTTTTTTTCTGCTTATTTTAGTTTTTAAGTCAATTTGACAAACAATAGTATTAAATTTATAATAAATTTTTAGACCAGTTTGAACATGAAAGACATTTTATAAAAAAAACGTTACCCCACTCTAGGATTTAATCCTGTGTCGTGGGTGCGTTTACAAACATACAAGTTCACATACACATGACAGCCAGACCCTGAACAACAATCTGGGATCACACAAAGGCTTGTTCCGTGCGGGAATCGTACCCGCGGCACGTTGCGTGGCAGACATTTACCCCGCCACAGTCAGAACAGAAATAATATGCTCTTGAATTCTCTATTTTATCTTTTTTTTTTTCTTGTAAGTTTTCGACACATGCCTAACAAAGCTATATGAAATAATGTAACCTATTTGTTTGATTGTAGCTAATAAATTCATGCTGGCTTTCTGTGTCCAAACGAACTGGAAAGCTTTGAAACATGGAGGTAGCGCTGAGGGTGGGATCTTCAAATGCTTCCAGGCATTGAGGTAAGAATCCACATACACAGAGTAACTTATAAATAAAGTAAACATTTCTTTATGAAAATCTCAAAAAATGTGATGTAAATATGGGTAACATTGTAAAGTACCTATGTTGGTTTTGTAAAGTAATAAACAGCAATGGCGATAAAATTGACCTTCATGTTGATAACTTAAGTATTTTTTTTAAACACTAGGATTTTCTCCTGTGTCGTGAGTGCGTTTACAAACATACAAGTTCACATACACATGACACCCAGACCCGGAACAACAATCTGTGGATCACACAAAGAGTTGTTCCGTGCGGGAATCGTACCCGCCGTCATTAAAGAGAACATTGCTAAAATATCTTCCATGATTAATTTCATTAATTCCCTTGTTTGAATAGCCAACTCTCACATGGCACGTCTATTATTTTGATTTGCTTTAAAGGTTTTATTCAAACTCATTTTAACTTATTAATCTCAGATTAATTTAAGTTGTTAATTTGTTGATTTATTGTTGTTTACTCTAGTTTTTCTTGTACAACCTTTTTATGCTTATGTCGTGGTGGCCCGGAGGTTTAAGACGCCCACTTCTCATGCATGAGGGTGCGGGTTCGAAACCTACCAACGGCAAGTACCAATGTGACTTTTTCCGAGTTATATGTACTTTCTAAGATTATTTAGACACCACTGACAAACGGTGAAGGAAAAACATCGTGAGGAAACCTGGACTTATAATTTCTAATTATAAGTTTGAAATCGCCAACCCGCATTGAGCAAGCGTGGTGATTAACGCTCTAACCTTCTCCGTGTGAGAAGAGGCTTTGCTCAGCAGTGGGCATTTATAGGCTGTTGATGATGATGATGATGATGATGATGTAGCTTAAAACAACGTAAGCATATTTTAGCCATTATTTTTATTACTGTTCCCAGTTCTCTACATGCTAAAACCAGGGCTTAAACTCATGGCTTATCCTCATTAATATATTCAAGGCTTTGAATTTATACGCACGACCTAATATTTCAAGCGTACAGTTAATATAATTTAAATTTTATGTTAATTATTCAATAGTTAGCAGAAATTCACACTTAAAATGAATTACGAAATTAGCAACGAATTAACATTATTTATATGGCTGATTATTTTGTGAAATTTGAACCCCTTGTAAAATGTTAATTAATGTTACATCAAAATAATCGAATTATCCAACTGTGTATAATAAAAAATATCGTATATTTGGTTTAGCCTTGTGACCAGGTCAAAAGTGGTCAATTAACCGACGTTGAAGCCCTTGAATAAACTATGGACAGCAACGGCAACTTGTTTAATAATTGCGCTAATTCGGCAAATCCCAAAACGATTATCTCCGTTATAATGTAGGCAGATAATACATTATATCGGCTTTGGTTTTGTGGTAGAAATTATGTTATTAACCTAAATAACCTAAATAAACCGGGCCGATGCCGATTCGGAGTCGCGGAGAACCTAACGGATAACCGGCTCGACGTGCAAGAGAAGGAACGGGGTGGTTTTAAGTCAGTAAGAGTCTGACACTCCCTCCCGTCTCACCCAGGCGGGAGCAGTCATTCGATGATTTTCCCCCTTATAAAAAAAAAGTCGGTTTTATGTTTAAATATTAATAAAATATTAATTTAACTCGTCGAGTACCGGTTTTGTAGACACAATTATAGAACAATAGGTTGCGGTCACCGGTGACCGCTTGGTGTTTGACAGTTTAAAATCATAATGATTCGTCGCTACAAGTTATAGATAATAATTGGCAATACAAACAATCATAGGTACTATAACAAATAATACTGTTTTTTATCACATAACATCACACCTTTTATCCCCGAAGGGGTAGGCAGCGGTGCACAGTATGCCACTGTACAATGTAACACCAACTTTCCACTATTTATGTTATGAGTCCCATGTAATAGGGGGTGAGCCTATTGCCATATACCGGGCACAATTCCAGAGTCTGTGCTACTACTGAGATTTAAAAAAAACGTGCGACGTGTCGCGGGTTCGATTCTCGCACGGAACAACACTTTGTGCGATCCACAACTGGTTGTTCCGGGTCTAGGTGTCATGTGTATGTGAACTTGTATGTTGATAAACGCACCCACGACACAGGAGAAAATCCTAGTGTGGAGAAACGTTTTAAAAAAAATACCCAGTAATTGCACCTACCATTTACTCTTCTCTGCATCACCCAAAGGTCAGACTGGTAGAAAACGCCTGCGGCATTAAGTATTTGTACATTTTGTGCATGAAGCATATTCAATAAATAAAATAACTAATACTTTGCCCGGGAATCGAACCCGAGACCCCTTGCCCGGCAGTCGCACTGCGAACACTCAGCCAACGAGGCAGTCGCATTGTTTTTTTTAATAGACGCAATAATCATATTATGACTAGGTCTTACCAGTTTATCCTAGAGTGTGGGTATTTATATCAGAATCAACTAGTTTGTTCTAGCCTAAACTGGTTTGTCCTATCGGGCTTAGGACAAACTAGTTTGAACTAGGCTATACTAGTTAATCCTAACGCTTATAGGAAGAACTAGTTTAGCCTAGGCAAAACTAGTTTGTCCTGAAATCGGGTTTGGCCGGTAACATATACAATTGTTGGTGAACCAATAAATCAAAATAAAAAAATGTTTCAAATAACTTGTTTATCTTTAGAAAAATCATGGAATAAAGAGTGTGTGGTTGCGGGTAGGCGTACCGGCACCAACCAGCTTCACAGGAATTAAACCTGTACGGCAATAGTCTTAAGGCTCAGAATAACATAGAGGTGAAGCGAGCGCAGCAGAGAAGGATGACAGCAATAATAGTTTTAGCAACGAGAAATGAACGATATTATTGAAGTGAATAGCAAATATATATTAAGCGATTACAAATGAGAACTGAGAATAAAAATACATTTCAAAATCAATGTCAAAGTCAAAATCATTTATTTCAATTAAACTAGGCACTTTTGTACGTTAGCAATAGAAATTTATAAGTGAAGTTATTTGCTCATTCTAAGATGTAGAATCCTATGGAGAAAAACGAGCAAGAAACTCCATAGGTTACTCTTTTCCAATCAGGTTCACGATACAATTCTCCAGTTACACAGTTTTATTGGTTCGATTGTGCGAGAACAATGTAACACCAAAATCCAGTCAAAGAGATCGAAAAAGAAAATAACCTTAAAGACAATAAATAATGTAGTCTGGAGCTGAAGTCCCAGTTGACGGCCATTTCATTTGAGTCGGGTTAATAAAGTTTCCGATACTAATTTTTCGAAAAAGTACTAGTTAGAGAACACAGAGAGAAGAGACGTAATGAGGTTGCATTTCTAGTAAAATTTACTTAGCTTTGTATATTCTCTACCTCGTTGGCCGAGTGGTCGTAAGTGCGACAGCCGGGCAAGGGGTGTCGGTTTCGATTCCCGGGTCGAGCAAAGTATTACTGGGTTTTTATAAATATTCTCAGTAGTAGGACGGAGTCAGAAATTGTGCCCGGCATATGGCAATAGGCTCACCCCCTATTACATGGGACTCATAACATAAATAGTGAAAAGTGAGTGTTGCATTGTTTAGTGGTATAATGTGCTCTCTTTTGACTACATCTCAGACTATACGTTAGGTATTAAAAAAAAAATTAACTAAATTACATTTCTAGGCAAATAGGGACATGGAATAGGCACACAATCATAAGCCTGTATTTACAGTAGTGACCTGGATTTGTGTGGGCATATTTCTCGGCAACTCAATCAACTGGCTGCCTCCTTCAAGATTAAAATCGTGCTAGCAATACTGAGCGACTCTTGAGATTCAGACAAACATAATAATGCGTCTTTATTATAATTGGGTAATGTTATTTTGACATGAATACATAAAATACGTAGTTTAATTATTGCCTCGTTGGTAGTGGTCGCAAAGGGGACTACCAAGCAAGGGGTTTCCGGTTCTCGGGTCGGGCAAGTATTCATCAACAGCCTACAAATGCCCACAACTGAACAAAGCCTCTTCTCACACGGAGAAGGTTTGAGCATTAAACACGCTTGCTCAACGCGGGTTGGCGATTACAAACTTATAATTAAAAATTATAAGTCCAGGTTTCCTCACAATGTTTTCCTTCACCGTTTGTCAGTGGTGTCTAAATAATCTTAGAAAGTACATATAACTCGGAAAAAGTCACATTGATAGTGGCCGTTGGTAGGTTTCGAACTCGCACCCTCATGTTTGAGAAGCGGGCGTCTTAAACCTCCGAGCTACCACGACATTGAAAGTATTACTGGGTTTAAAAAAAATTCAATAGTAGTACGGAGTCTGCAATTTTGCCCGGTATATGGCAATAGGCTCGCCCCCTATTAGATGGGACTCTTGCTCTTTTTCAATCAGGAAACCTGAACTTATAATTTCCATTTATTAGTTTAATTTTTCCAATCAGCCTTGAGCAAGCGTGGTGATTAATGCTGAAATATCCGCGTGAGATGAGGCCTTTGCAGTGTTAACTATTCAATCTCTCCTAACCGATCTCCACTAACTCCATTATAGACCCTATTTCCGATGTTTAGAGACTACTTTTGTGTAAACAAAATTTGGGTACGATATATCAATGTGTGAAGCAGTACTCAATAGTCGGCAGTTAGACACTAATAGACTGATGATGTTTGTGATGTGTGATGATGAATTGATATTTTGTTACAGATTCTACACAATGGTGATGATCTTAGGTCTACATTCGATGATATTTATCGGCTACGGATATACCGCTAACCCAGAGTTTATTGAGAATGTAAGTCGTATTATATTTTATTAACAATTAATAATTGCCTACTGCATCTGTCTACTACTCACTGCCTCGTTGGTCGAGTGGTCGAGTGGTCGTATTAAAAAATCTCAGTAGTTGCAAGGAGTCTGGAGTTGTGCCCTTTTGGGGATAAGGAGTTTAAGGATCGTTGGGGATTCTGGGATTGGGGAGATTGAGGAAGGGAAGGGCGTAATTAGGTCTTCGGTAACCTCACTCACACGACGAAACACAGCGTTGCTTCACGTCGGTTTTCTGTGGGGCCAAGGTATCACTCCAGTCGAGCGTGGTTCTCCAACACTAGATTTCACAATCATGACACCAAACTACATTCGTGCTATCTAGAAAGCAGAATCATCATCATCATATCAGCCACAGGACGTCCATTGCTGAACATAGGCCTCCCCCAATGACTTCCAGATATGCCGGTTGGAAGCGACGTGCATCCGAAAGCAGAATAACCTTGTCTAAATGACCTAACGATACATTAAGCCATCTTTTAATCAGAAAAAGGTTAGGCATATAATATAAATAAATTCCAGATTTGACAATTTCAGTGTTGCAACGTTATGACAAGTACTAAATAGTGACGTTGCGAAATTATTCGATATGGAAATGCAATATTTCTGGATCGATTCTTCTCGTTTATAATTTTACTCTCGTTAACTAAGTATACCAGGAAATTAAATATTTCTGAACCGATGATTTAGTTTTGACGATTAATTAACGATCTGAGATTTTTCTTTTATAATTGTGTGTGAAATAAATAAAAAATGTAATCATGAAGGAACATGACAAATAAAACAGATAGATGTATTATGGTAATAAGTTATTTTATAAATTGTCGCCGTAATCGCTATCGCTATCCTGTCGCTTTCTGTAACATTTATTATAATACACACACACTGATTGTTTATTGATTTTTGTGTTCCTCACTACACTATTATAATGTGGTATCATTATTTCACAAAATGACAGTAGCTATTGTCAAATCTGGAATCTAATAAAAATTCTGACTATAGTGTCACAACTTTATTAACAGTAAAACTAAAGTGAATAGCTTACTATGCAATCGTGGCCTAAAGAATTTCACAACTTAATGCATTTACTGCAGTATAATATTTTAGCTGTAGTTCGCGTCTCACTAAAATTGTTGTGTAATAATAAACCTTATGTTGTACCGGAGATAATGCCAAGAGTGATTGTCGTTTTGTTTGTGCATCCTTGGCAGAATTATGGTTGTTCGTATAGGTTGGAAATTGTATGTGTGTGTGATTTTTTATGTAGACTGATGATTTTAATAAAATGTTACCAATGACTGCCTCGTTGGCCGAGTGGTCGCCAGTGCGACTGCCAGGCAAGGTGTCTTGGGTTCGATTCCCTGGTAGGGCAAAGTATTACTGGGTTTTTCAAAAAAATCACAGTTATAGCACGGAGCCTGGAATTGTGCCCGGTATATGGTAATAGGCTCACCGCCTATTACATGGGACTCATAACATATAGTGAAAAGTGGGTGTTACATTGTACAGTGGCATAATGTACAAATCTGCCTACCCCTCCGGGGATAAAAGGCGTGATGTTATGTTATATCATATTCTATACATAATATAATAGAATTGTAGAAAAGTCAAAACTGTACAATGAATAATTTAAAAAAAATACTTGGTACATAATCTACAATTGATACCGAAGCCAAAAATATGACTTGTCTGTATGTATGTCCGGGATGATCTCAAAAAGTACTGCATGGATTTACTTCAAATTTGGCATGAATATTACTTATAAGTCGGGTCAACATATATGCTACATATTATCGCGCTAACATTTACGGGGGAGGAGCTGTGAATCACAATTCCACGCGAACGAAGTCACGGGCAACAGCTAGTAATGATTAATTTAATATATCTCACGACTGTAATTATAATATCAATTAAATATAGAGCTAATTATTAAGCTTTTCGGTTTTCTCGCGTCTTTGTTCGAGGAACTCGACTACTTTCAAGCCACACTAGAAGCTCATATTCATGAGTGCATGTCGCGGAATGCTACTATTTAAGATCACCTTAAAACTGTGTTGCATTTCAGAATTTCTACGTAAGATCTGTAATACAATTCCGGAAGGAAATCAAACCTACGACACGTTACTCAGCAGTCGTTTGCCCAACCACTGTACCAACCGCATTTCTGATCTTTTACTCATTCGCCATTTTTAGTTAGAACATAACATCACGCCTTTTATCCCTGAAGGAATAGACAGAGGTGCACATTACGGCACTTAAAGCCACTGTACAAT